TAAGAAATGTCAGGTGCTTGCCAAAGTATGTAAATAGTCCTTAATAAATATTACTGTCCGCGTGATTGTACTACTTAGGTTCAACTTTTATCGACATTTCGTCAATGACCGACGATTCCATAGGTGTAGAGTATACAACGAGACACAATTATGCCAACATTGTTGGCCAACTTCAAAGACTTATCTGCTGGTATGTACTCGTATGTTTGTTCGTCCGTCTGCCTGTCGGCTTGGTTCCTTTCTGAAAATGCTTTAAAAAATGGCGTTTTACTTGCAGAGACTGCTCAGCTGCTCATCTGCTGACAGGCATGGAAAACTTCAATTTTCAAATGCAATTGCCTAATCATGCGTGTCACACCACGCGTATACTTAATATAGGCGTGCGAGCACATTCAATGCGGCACAACTTTAATTAAAATTTACGAGTTAAAATTGTTATAGTAATGACATCGTGCCACATACACAGCTTCATTAATAATAATTGCTTAAATTTCATAATCATTGTGCTGCAGGAGCCACTCCTCCCTACCAAGTGATGTTGCGGCTCCGGGCATTTATTTGGTCAGCACGGAAATGGCTGCAGCAACCGCCATGTTGAAAAACCTACTTAAATATGTATGTGTGTGTGTGCGCGCGAGTGTGTGGAAAATTTATAAAACAAAAGTTGTTGCAATTGTTGCTACTTTTTCGTTGCTGTGGTCTGCGCGTCGTCGGCAACACGTCACATCATCATCATCATCTTCATTGTCACCAGCGCTTGCAACAATAATGGCAACAAGAGCGTCTTGCACAAATGGCGTGGAAATAAAATTGCATTAAGTAATAAATGTTTAAAGCTTTTCCATTGTGCAATAATGTGAAACGTCTGCAGTTTCCTTTGCGCCATCAGCATTTTCCATTTTCCCATGTGCTGTGAATAATACGACTGTTGCAACTTATAGCCCAGATGCGTCTCCATCTCTAGGTTAGTACTTAGTTAGCTGTACTGAGAGTGGGTGAAGAGTGCATGTTTATGTGTAATTGCATTGTTTTTTGTTTTTGGGGGAATTTGTAAGAAAATTAGCGCCTAATGTGAATAGTTTGTTATTGTTTGCGATAATACTGCGAAGTATACATTGCGAGTAAATGAACTAATATTCACTAATCTATCTACCGAATAAGTGATATGGATATATAGGCAGATAAAAGATCGATACTTTTGTTTTTCTTAGAAAGAAAAAATCGTTTAAAAAGAACATTAAATAATAGCAAATATTATAAGAAATATGCAAACTTCAATTTATAAGGAAGAAGCCTTTCAACTCTACTTAAAGCTATATACCAAATGAAAAGATAATTACTTAATTAAGTTTGTTTGGGGCTTATTTATAAATTTTTTTTATAACGAAATCAGACGGAAAATTCTAAATTCCATTCTAAGCCCCTACAAAACCTTCAAATTGTGCGCAATTTTATGCACAATGCTGTATATATTCCATTGCAATTGGTTTGAAAACAGGCCCGTATAAACCACAATCCTTTACAATTTGCTTCATTAAATCAGCGCACAAATAGAAAAACTCAATAACAATGCAATGCCCTGAGCCTCATTAGTATTCCCATGCATGGACATTTAAATATTTTGTTTACAATAAAATGCATTTTCATGCTCAAATGAATTCATTTAAAAGTTGTGCAACTTTTTGTGCAACACAGAATTTGGTTTATTTGTATGTTGGCAGTGTGTTTTTGCATTTTTCTGCTTGTCTAATTAACGCTAAAACCTCATTTGCATTTCAAACATAGTTGTTGCTGTTGTTGCTGCTCCTCAATTTGTAGTTGCGAGACAACTATTGAAAATCTATAATGGAATTATGCCATAATTGCAAAAAGTCAAAATGTGAATATGAAATAAGATAAACAAATAAATGAAAATTACTGGAGTGCTGAATGCTGCGCAGACAACACGAAACTGCCACGAACTAAATTATTATTGTTGCTGTTATTGTTGCTGGATACTGTTGCTGTCTCTCCCAATGCGTGTCTGCCGGTGTGTTTGTCAGTTTGTTGCAACGTTGCAGCATTGGCCAAATAAAAATTGCATAACAGATATAATTATTATTAGATTATTATATGCCAAGTGTCTGAATCATAGCTGTGAGTCGTTAATACATACTAGACTAGACTTGAAATGTTTGTTGCATTTTGTAAAAGGGCACAATAATTGTATGTTAGCTATGAACAGATGTATGTAACATACTTGTACACTCCATTTATTTTAATACATGTGCCAGCTTTTGCTGTGAATAATGAATTATTTATGGTCTTTGAATGAGTGCAATTGAATGGAATGAATGGTGAATGCTGTGCAAGCGGCAATTAAAGTTAGCAATTTCAATACATAGCTCCATATTAATGGGTAATCATTTCTAAAAGTGGTTAGTTTACGACTCTTTAACAATGAATTGCAGAAGACCTTCACTTTCAGCATTTCATAAATGAACAAAAATCTACGTGGGTTTTTGTTGCTGTTGCGGGCAGACTACGGCTTTCTTATTACGATTTCTGTCAAAGCTGCCGCGATGAGGAAGATGAGGAAACGGTGACTCACATCTTCTGTGACTGTGGGTTCTTGCCGGTGACTAGGCAAGTGGCAAATAAATCAACAATTTGCTGAATAGTGATGGTGTGATGATAAATTAGAGATAAAGAGACATCTCTTTGTTTTATATAAATGAATGTGTAAAATTTCTGCGCCAATTGAGCTCCAATTTTTAAAACATTGTGAAATTCGGGTGCCTCAATTATTTAATCTACTCATCGCGTCAGTAAGTTTTTTTTTTAAACATCACTCTCCATACTAGCAGATAACATCTGTCCCATAAGATTGTACAATCATACATTACTCACCTCGATCGGGGTACTGCATGTTCCCGACTGTGTGTTTATTTGTATATACAACTTGCATCCATTACATCTGCCCGATAAGATTGTACAACCTTAATGCATTTTACGTCCTCCCATTTATGATAAGAAATGTTGTCTTTATTTGCGAACCCTTGTCGACTTAAATGACATTTTAATTAATGTTGATCTTACTACTTGTACTGATTTCAAGTAGTTTTTTAAATTTGTTCATTTTATTTGGCAGGCATAAGCATCTTTCGTGCTACCCTGGTGCATTCACAGAAAATGCTGGATAACATTTTGTGACATTTCCTACTTGCAGTGGCGCTTTCCTTCTCTGCATTTGGACAGCGTCAAGTTGACATTAAAATTAAGTTGAAAGAAAATGTTCACTGAGGCATTAGATTGCTGAAATGGGCTTGCAAAAAAGTTCAGCTGTTGCTGAAACTATCTTCTGAGCAATTTGTCGTTTGCTTATCTTAATTATGAAAGCTTTGCTAATAAATTATAATTCGTTGAGTTAACTATATATGTGTATCTACTTTCTCTCTTAATTTTGTAGTACTTGTAGTTGACTGAGATCCAAATAAATGTTAGTTATTTAACAATTTCAATAATGTAAGAAATGATATGAAACCTTATTTGTTGTGCGGAGCTAGGAATAGGTAATTGATAACAGTGCCATAGAATACTTAATTATTTGTATCTTCTGAGCTTGAAGCTTTCTGCTAACATGCCACGCCTGAGACTTATGTTGTCCTTTGTGGATTAAACGACACTTTTGAGCCTGAGGCTCCAGCAACCATTTGTGAAGCGAACAATATTATTGCGTTTGAGACACCGATGACCATTTCTGCAGCAGCAACCGCCAAAGTAGTTGGAATTTAAAACGACTCCCCAATGGTGTAAAATGCGAAAGTGTTTCTTCTGAATATGTGAAGTGGCACAGGATTGGAATATTTTAATGTATTTTTAATGTTATTTTAAAAAATGTATAGTTTTTATCACTTTTCCGTAAAACTTTGATTGATATCGTTATCAGTTACTTAATATTTCTGCAACATAGACTGTTCTTGCACTAACTACAAAAATAGTGAACGGAAAAGTGTTCTTTACATACCATAATAAGCATTTAAACGCAGAACATTTGTGCTTTTTTGTTCAAAGTGCTTTATTATGTTATGGGAGTACCTAAAAACTGAAGCCAAACAAATTGTTTGGCATTTATTTAGTTATTCACTTAAATGAAATAAAGATTCCTTAATTTTCAGAATAGCAACGTATGGTTTGCTTCTGTTTCCTTACTTCTATGCACTCCTGAGTTTATTTTTTGTGGCTTTTTCTCAAATTACATTTGGCATAAAGCTTAAACTTGTTTAATTTAATGCTGGCAGACCAACTTTATTCGTCGCTTGTTGGTTCTTATTCACCCTTTTTTATGCATTCCTAAATTTTATTTTATTCGTTGTTGCTGCATTTCGGCTGGAGACTTGTTATAATATTTGCAGAACGCACAGTTAACGGTACCTGGGCTCAACAGCCATGCAAAAAGATAGGTTTTTTATTTTTAGGAGAAAAATTCATGTTTTTCGACATTTTTAAGTTGAAAATGACAGAGCGAAACAGAGTCGAGTTGCAGTTTCTGTGTGTGTGTATTAGTGTGTGGGAGGGAGTGTGTCCGTGTGTGTGAATGGGGAAAAAGGGCTGAAAAGCGCTCGATGCTGAGCTGCTGCCCTCAGGCAGGGGCCAGCTCCGACTCTGCAGAATTTGCCGGCGGCGCGGCAAGTCTTTGCCTTTCCACAAGTTTTCTTGCCGTTGCTGCCAGGAAGGAAACATTTTCCCGGCTGCACTTTACTCACTGAAGTGGTTTTTAATTTGAATACTTTGCGTGTGCTGTGCGCGCCCAAAACTCTTCAGTCGGCGGCAGCGCCTGTCAGTTGAGCGAGCGGGTATGCCCTTTTTATCATTATTTTATTTCTTTGCCACTGATTTGCATATTTGTTGTACTCTGCGCAGCTTTAACATTTAACTAATATTAAGAAATACCAAACAAAACTATTTATAAACTTTTCAAATTGACTTATTTTCCCTTTTCCTCTCTCCCACTCTTGCAGGTTACGCAAAAGATATTTCCGGAGTTGAAAGAGGTAAGTTGTGAAGAAAGAAGGCCAAACTCTTGTTTTAAGGTTGGCTGTGCAACTAACCTTGTTATTCATTATAATCATCGGACGACCTCTAAATGGAATTTCAGAAATCTAGATGGAATTCCATATTCCAGCCTGGCGATATATATCTAGAATATGTGAAATGTTGGACATTTTTGAAGATATTTTTACTATTTTTAGTTACAATTCCATATAAACTTGTCGAATTCCACATTTCAGTCTGTGAGAGATCTACAATATATGAAATGTTAGGCTTCTACAACAAACATATAAATAAACCAATACCCGATTGAAAACGTGCTACATGGTTTATGTCATGCTCCTTACAATTCAGCTATCTCCTCCCTCTGACAGGAGTTGAACTTCTACCAGCAGCGACCATAACTGTATTTATTTTTTCCGCATTCTTGAATTTCTGCCATTTTTTTCGCTGCTTGAGCGCTCGACCACTTAACCATAAAACGCCAAACAAACACTCTATAAGGGCCGAAAGGTTCTACACGAAAAAGCTCGTAACTCAAATATCAAATACACTTAAAAGCGTAACGACGGGAGTGGAAAAAACTTGTGTGTGGAGCAATGTTGTCAGGTAGTACGCGATACTCGGCATAAATGCACGGCAAAAAATTGACAGCATATAGTCACACCACACATCTAAACCTATATGTGTGATATTTTATTGGCAGCTTTAATAAATCTAAATACTAAATACAATAATCACTGAAAAGTTAGTCCAAGTGGCATTTTAAACGGTTGTTTCATACGGTTCCAAAAATGATGTATAGTAAAAATTTTAAAACTGTAGAATTCTAGTATATCGGACACCTATATCTATACCGTTGTCAACTTGTCTTGGCTTAAAAGCACGCCACCTACATGGCCGTTTTTGCCACATGAATCCACAAAATGGTATATAGAAGTTGCTAGATCGATTTGAATATTCGAATTGTTATAAAATATCGAAATATTTAAATAACGGTGTATACTATAGCTATATAGTTAACTTTCACAACTTTATAAAATAGTATTTTGTTTAACAATATTCGATCATTTTAGACAATATTTTAAATACATTTCCTCTTATATACCTAGTATTAAAGAGAGATCTCCCTTTCTATCAAAAATCCACACTTACTATATAGCACATATGACAGTTTTTCAAAATATCGCAAATATCAATATTTGATTAAAAAAGACTTTGTATATTACAATGATTATAATTTGACAAAACTCTAATATTGAAAAATAAAAAGCTTTTGGAAGCTAAAGTTTCATAATATTTTTCTTCAACTTGCCAGCGACTCCTTCTAGTCTTTACCAAACACAAATCAGCAAAAACAATCAACAGCTGGCTGCTGTCTGACTCGCTGTTGGTCTTATCCTGGAAGTTTGGTGTTATGGCCGCCTAGCGGGTATGACCATGTGGCATTGGCTCGGGCGCTACACATATGCGCCGTGCAATTTTTACTGCGTGTTTTGCCCATTCACACGCCGGCACTTTGGCACGCGGAGCGAGTGAACGCTCCCTATAGCGCAATTTATATTGTAATATGTGCCGACACAAAGAAAAGGCACAAAGAATAGAAGGAATGCAAAAAAATGTGCCGCAGAGTAGCTATACAACTCACGTTTAGGCTCTGATGTCGTCGTCATCATCATACGTATGCCACTCCACTCCACAACCCACTTCACTCCACTCCACTCCACTCTGTATTCGGACCGGCGTTGTTGACTTGTCAGCCGGCTTTTTTTTGTTTTTGTTTTCGTTTTCGCATACATACATATGTATGTATGTATGGCCCTCCAACTAAGGGACGAAGTGACTCGCTGACTGACTGTCGGGCGATACATGTGGACGGACAACGTTACCCAGCCACTGTTTTGCCGGTTTGCCGCAAAAGTTTCTTTGCCGCACATGTAAATGTTGTTGCATACAGTGCGGCGCATTGCCACCTGGGCGTGGCACACAAGCAGCATAAATACAGTTATACATAATGTAGGACATACATATAAACATATAGATATTCATATTTAAATCGTCACATTACTCCAAATCAAAACAAAATTATGGGAAAAATACTTTCAGAAAACCTATAATCGGCCGCTGTTGACATAATTAAGACATTACTGCGATGTTTGTTAAAAATTCGTCTTTAGAGAACTGCTTTAGTCGTTATAATTATATTCAATGCTCAGAAAAGAATTGCCGATGAAACGAAAAGTTATTGAACAGCAAGATAAATTGAATCTTTATGGGTTGAAAGGTTTTGATAAATTTCAAAACCAGATTGTTGAACGGCATTGGCAGCGTCTCCAAAACTTATATATGAAACTAACTCACTAATTACCTAATTGTTTAAAATGGCAAAATAATATCATCTGCATGGTTCCCTTCCTGGTAATAAAAACCAAAAACCAATACATAAAAGTTTGAGTTTTTTTTTATCTAAGCACAGAATTTTGTGTAAACTTCCGCCACGAGTTTTGTAATTTGTAACTGATAGAACTTTCTTACGTATATGGGTTTCTCGCACCGCATCTCAACGACGAATATATATTTGTTTCCAATGTGCGTGTGTATGTGTGCACGGTTTTTATGATTCGATTTTATGCTTGTCGCGGTTTTTCCCACCTTTTATGTCGTGTCTTTCCATGCCGCCACACAATGGCACAAAACCGATGAAGTTGTTGGCACAGCACAGCACAGCAAAAAAAAAAAGTAATGGGAAAAGGGAAGTAAAATGTTGGTACAAACCACCCACTGCCCCAATAGCCAGCCGTCGTTGTCATTATTTATTGAAAATATAGTTTGATGAGTTTTTACTTGGCGGCAACGGCAACGGCGGCTGCTGCTGTTGCTGTTGAACGGTCCAGGACTCGCCAGCTTCAGCTGTACGTTGAATGCCTTACGGCCAATGCCATTGCCTGCTGTTGTTTTATTTTTGCTGTTGCTGCTGTTGTGGTCAATGTAATGATTATTGTGGGTGGCTGGCGGGACTGTTACAGGCCGCGTAAGGGGACGAAATTGGTTAAATCAGTAAACTTTTGCACAGGCACTGTTTCTCTGGTTTTCAACTTTAAAACTACGTGGGTGTTGCCAAAAGTTACGTTAAATTCCTTAAATGCGCCAATTTCTGTTTTTGGTTGGAGTTGAAGTGGTCGAAGTGCTTGTCTGTTAATTAGCAGCTTGTTAGGATTTTGCCGCAAGCCGCATTTCCAGGGGTCTCTATTGGAGGATTTAAGTTGTCTATTGTTGAAACTGCTAAAAATCCTCTCAAGCAAATCCTCTCAAAGTTATTAAAATTATGTAGCTTGCTCCTCTTTTTTTTCGTGAAATTAATTTGACGTTCTGAAAATATTAATAATATGTTTACTTGCATGATGTAGAATGTCCTTTCACAAAACAATCCAAGCAAGAATTTATGGTTTCGGAGAACAACTTTACAACAAAAGACAAAAGACTTTCTGCGTTGATTTGTGCACTCAGATATAAACACCTTCTGCACTCATCTTTAAAGTTTTGAATTGGAATCCTGTTTCGGCATTTACAATAGCGTCTAAGAAATAGTTTAGATTTAAGAAATAGACATCGAAATTTTTCTGCAAGAATTATAATTTAATTTTTTGTAATTTGGGGGAAGCTAAGAATGGTTTATTATAACATTTATGTTAAATTTGCAATTTGCGATTGGATTTTGCAATTCAACAGTCACCCCAGGGCCACAAGTAAACAAAGCCTTTGTTTAGCAATTGACTTCCGTAAAATTTATCATCCAATTCACCCTTAAATGAATCCAATGAAGTATTCCTATAATCCTACTATTAGGCAAAGGCATGTAGCTTCCCTCTATATAATTTCGACCACAGCAAACCAACCAAATGCCCCCACTTTTCTGTCTTTGCTTCTAGCTGTTGCACCTCACACTTACCACAGATATTGAAGAGGCAACGTGTTAACGTATTTGCCGCAGCAAACACCTTGTCAATAAATCGCCATGGCAATCGAATATGCCAACAATGACTTGCATTTATTAGTTGGTCGGCTCAGCAGGGCATTCTTTTTTCACTTTTTTTCATCTCTTCAAACTATACGACTGACAAAAGGCACAACCGTAGAGGCGGCCTGCATAACCAACAAACAGCCAAGCGACCGGCCGACCAGTCAACCAGCTAACCGACCAACCATTCCTTCCGCTTCATATTACAAATCTCCAGTTGATACGATTATGGGCACGAGTGCTAGAAAGTGAGTGAAAAAACGCCAGCACTGTAGCAAGTGATATCTGCCGGTTGGTCATAAAAACCTTACTAGACAAAGTCCAGAAGCGAGTGTGTGTGTACGTGTGTGTGTGTGTCTGAAGGGGTATGACCAGTTAATAGCATTGCACGGCATGCGGATGCGATGTGATGTGCGGGCAACGCCCACGCAATCGACCTAATGTACCTACACACATACAAACATATATACATACTATATACATACTTCTGTTGCTTTATGCAACACATGAAAAATGTTTGGTGAGATACTTTTTGCCATACACACACCTACCTACCTACGAGTACGAACTTCTACCAACATGCGAGTACAACAACAGCATATAAAGACAACTTCGTTATGCAGTTTGTTATGAATTGAAGCACAGTAGGATTGGTGCTGTTAGGCGAGGTGTGGTGAGGCAAGGTAAGGATAGTGTTGTGAAAAGGGATAACGAGCAGCCAACTATGGTCTCATAGTTGAGGCTGTCTTATATACTAGTAGTATGGTTTGAAAGGGTTTGCTCTGCCCGTAAATATATTGTTTGGGTTATGGTGGTTGGGAGCTGTTTGTAAAATGACATACAATTCAAATTGTTGATTCATATTTTTGAAAAGGGGGAAAACTGAATGCTACTACTATGCGTGCAAAGAGGGAGGGCTCTTCAGAAAAGTGATTTCAAGTTTAGCTTTTGGATTTGTTTGTCGGTAGCACAAATTTCCACAAT